AAATTAAACGGTAAAAAAATATTTGAAACTTTAACTGTCAATATATTTGAATATTTATGGCAAATTTTATAGCAAAAAATTTCAAAAAACCTGTTTAACGAACTTTCAATGTCAAAAATGCAAAAATGTCCTCAAACTTAATGCTACCGCCTTCATAAAAAATCCAAGAGTGTCCTCGCCTTTCATAAGCTGCTGACCAAAAAATTATTTTTTCTTTGATGGAAATTCGTGTCTGAATTTTTGATTTCGTTGCTATCCTTGCAGTTTTAAGTCAGAATAAATTATCTAGTTCCGAGCCAAATATGCACATGAACTTGATAAAAATGTCCATCAAAGTCACTTGCAAGGAAAAAGAAAGACACATTCGTAAAGTTCAAGCAAATGACCTGATTAACACGGAATTTATTTTATGTGATCTTTATGATTGAGTAACGACAAATTAATACTGTTGACATTAAATATTCTTCGTAATTTGTTAAATGAAAATTTTTATTACTACAGAAAAATGAAAATTAAGTTTACACGAGCACCATTTATTGAATATGCTAACAAAACTTTCAGTGATGAACAAGGTGTTTTTTTTCTTCGTTTTATGTCATTGAATGAAACTACTTGATAAACATAAAATATATAATTTGTCCATTTATTTCCGAATTAATCATAAACATTTTAAAAATGAATTGAACAGGAGACAGTTTTACAGCTGTAAAATTATCATATAAATAGTAAACTTATCATTAATTAATGAATACAGTTCTTCTCAGTGGGAATTTACTTATTTTTAAAAATGTCAATATTTAATGATATTAAATAACTGAATTTTGAGGTGTCTTGTTTCATTTATTTGTTTTAATGAAATGTAGAACCAACTGACAAATGTTCTGGCATTGCCTCTGTGTAATTAACTTCGGATGACTTTCGATCACTCTAATAATTGGATTCTAATTAATTTTGACAAAATCGACAGTTATTTTTTCAAAAATTAACATTTGTATGGTTTTGAATTAAAATTATAAATGACACTTATTTTCTCTCTCCAAAAACAACATTTGTATGGGTTTGAATTTAAGCTTAAAATAACATTTTTAAAAATTTACATTTGTATGGTTTTGAATTCAAATTATAAATGACAGTTATTTGTCTAAATCAATTTCTAATCTATTCTTTTACTTCAACTTTTCGATTACTAATTCAATTTCAAGATTGAGGCAGATGAACTTTAAAAAGCCTATAAATCCGCACATGTAACTCAACAGGTGCCATAAAAGTTTTAAAACATTCTTTACATTTCTGCAAAAATCCCTTCAACACCGATTTCACAACATCCCATTTCTATTTCAAAACAAAATTAATTTTATTCAACGATCGTCACGAGATTTTCATCAAACCTTCAAATACCTTCTAGCTTCCCTCTATCAAACTATTCTAGAATAGATGCTAATAAACTCATAAGATTACAGCTCATTATAAAACAGAACTTTAGATTGAATCAACAGTTTATGCCTCGATAATTTCAACAGTCATCGTGACTTAACAATTATTAGCAAAGTGTGTACTTTACATTCGTTATGACAGAGAAATCTAAGATTAATTAGGTATATAAAGTAAACATTGATTTGAGACGATTTTTCTTAAGTATGAGGAAGCATATTGATGCTGTCATTTATGATTACACGAGACTAACTCTTGGTCATTCAATCGAAGGTCGAAGCTTTTTATTTATCATGATTTAATTCAAATAAAATATAGGAAAAAAAGAAGACACGTGGTATGTAAGATGAGGATTTTAGTACCTAAGATATACATAATATTAGAGTTACACAGGCCTTTTTTTACGACTGTTGAAATTGATTTCTTTCTTCTCTTCTTTTTCTTGCATAATTTTTTTTTTTATAAATACGAATTTCATTTTCTTTTATTCCTCAATTCTTCTCAATATCATCATCATAACAGGCCTGCCTGCCTGCTGCCTCATATCAGATGCGTAAAAATTATTTCACAAAAAAATGCATTTAATGAGATGATGATGATCATGTTATGTTGGTTGTAAGAGAAGAGAAGCTAATTCATTCAATGAAACTTAAATCGCAACACAAAATGTGTTACTAGTGCAATAGATCGTTAAGCATGACGGGGGATTTTAAATTTGTTTTTGGGAAATTTTCATTTGCAATTTTGGAGTCATTTAAAATTAATTTGTTTAAATTGATAGTAGTGGAAGGGTTGAAGAAGCTCCTCTAATTAAGCATTTTAAATCTGACCAGGATCATATATATGAGAATGAAGCTAGCTGAATGAAACGTCTAATATACAAGTGAACTTGTTTAAATGAAAAGTTAAAAATCCACTAAGCACTTTAGCTGCTCTGAAAGTTTACAGGAGAAATCAAGAAGAAATATAATTCTTTTTATCAACAGATCAGAAAATTAATTAAAGGCATGTTCATTAAGTTGAGCTTAATTGATCTATATAGCAAGTCATTGAGATCCTTCATTTATATGAACATAGTCTCATAAACTTAAGCAGTATTTTTACTCAACAAAACTTGAAAGCATTGAGCTAGTCAAATTTGCATCTACATAGTAGGATGGTGGGTTCCAAAATTTCAACCTTTAATCAATGAAATGAGTTTTTAAGATTCGATAACTTTCCAATTTGGTTCATAATTTCTTACTTACTTTGCTGGCTTCACAGATCAGTTGTGATCCACTGCCTTCCTTAGATTGCCACTTGCAAATTACCAATACTTTCAATAGCTTCTTTGATTCTTAAACTGCATGTTTTCTTTATCTAATAGCGATTTGATTTCTTCATAATTTCAAGATTGACCCAATTCGAAGAAATTCTATTGCTTAAGAACTATCGGACCTTCACATCCTTTCATGTGATGTCATTTATAAACGACTTTGATGATCCTTAGCCTTTATCTTTAGAGCCCTATAAACCCATTACTTCCTGATTATTGAAAGCCATAAACAAATCATCCACACATTACTAGTGTGAATCGTAAATCCCCCAAAAACTATATAACCATGGCTTCAACACAGCTTCTGGTACATTATTCATGATTGAGAGTAAAGTAAAAAGGGAGAGAATGAGTAGTAGCAACACATTTTATTTCCAAACATTAATTATTATTATTTTTTTCGGTAAGAAAAGAAAGAAAGAAAAAAAATGTTTAAAAAGCTCTCTGATGTAACTTGACTGCCAAGCAGCAGAAGAAAAGAAAAGAAAAAAAAATGAAATGAAATGAAAACAATTTTTAAAGAAAAAGTAATTCAACAATTGGGTAAAAGAAATAAATTGTGAAATAAGGAAAGTGTTTTTTTAGTTCAAGGTCTTTTTTGCACCATTTGTCTTCATTTGGATGAATAAGCGCTAAATTATTTATGAATTTACGGATTTTTGGATGGCAAAACTGTAACAATAATTTTTACATGATTGGCGTAGTGTGAAAGGGAAATTTTTAAGGAATTTGATGCAATGTTGTATAAGAATTTGAAATATTTTTTATTTGATAATTTGAGGCGGCAATGCTGTAACCTGAAAGATATAACAAAAGTAGCTCAGTGAATGAAATTGAAAGTTTTTTTTTCTTCTCTCTTCTGTCTTGACTGGAATTAAAATAATTTGTGTTTGGTGATTTTTTGTGGCATAAGTTTTTCGTTTCTTGCATTTTTTTAAGGCCGATCTTGAAATTTTAAATCCATTCTCTTTGATTTGACAACACTTGAATGTATTTCTTACGAATTCCGGTTATATTCTTTTATCATTAAGTTGTTAGGACTTGTCTTGATGGATTTAAGGTTTTAAAACCGTCTTTAATATGCCGCCGAATTTAAATAACGAATCATTAGTGTGTTTGAAGCTTTGCATAATCGATAATACAAAAGATGCTGTTTCCAGTAGATTAATAGTTTAACTTGGGATGCTACCAAGCTTCTTAATAACTCCGATAGCTTGATGTAAGATTGATTGTAAATGCAACAAATCGGAAATTGTAAGAGCTATTTTTTATTCATGCAACCAGTTGCTTACCTTACCTGATAAATATATAAAATAAAATCATTAACTATCAACATCAAGTTCAAAGAAGATCCTAAAATCTTTTTAACACAAATTCACATCCTATCTGAGCTTTTGGGGTTTAAAATCCCTTATATGTCAGAACTCAATATAAACGTCACACTTTCTGGTTGGTATCTCTAACCGCTCACTTTGTGAAATTTAATAATTTGGTCTGATATGTTGTAAAAATCAATAGAATTGAATGTAACAATAGGTGGGATCTAAAATCACAGCATTATAAATGATCGACCCCATTTAAGATCAAGTTTCATTGCGTGTGAAATGGGAAATAAGAACAGCCATAATAAATTGAGTGAATGTAGCCTTTGATTAAGAATTCTTGTAATTTCTTATTTATGTCAGGTTTAATGAGAATAAAAAGAAGCCTCACGCTGATTAACATGATTTAAATCCAGGAAATTATCTTAACAAGTTCTAGATTGTTATTATTAAATGTCAGATTCGAACGGGATTTGATATAAATGTAAAATGTATGAATTACATGGATATCAATTATTATGAATCATATGACCAATAATTTGTGGTTGAGTTGGGAAAATACGTCTGCTGTCATGAAGTTAAAGATTCAGGAAACAATTCTATTCTTCCGCACAATAAGAAATCTAATCTAGTCTTCTTATTGCTAAAGCCCGTTAAAGTGTGAATAAAACTTTACTTTCAAAACTTCCCACTATGGGCTATTGACACAGATGGTATTTATATAGCAATTTTCACATTGAAATTCTATAAATAATATCGGGCAAATAAACTTATTAAGTAATTTTATATTAATAAGGTATTTTTTTTATTGATGTCTGCAAACTTGTTGTTTCACATGTGTGTCGAGAAAGAAAAAGATATTGCAACGTGTAGATTGTTTCTGTTTCAACAGCATTTTAATATAACTTCTCTTTTTTTCGTTCCTTTTACAGATAAAGAAATGGCCTTAATAATGAAATATATTGACAGTTTGCATCACTATTTGGATAAATATGGCGGTAAGTATCATCTTTAAGTTTTTGCACGCATATAAAGAAGTTTGATAACTTCAAAAAAATTTGTAAACAGATTCATGACCTTCACAACTCACAAGCAATTGCTTCTCTTTCCCACCTTTCTTTTCACGATCACTTCCATTGAATACTTTTACCAATTTCATTTTTCTTTTTATTTATATTTGAAGTTAATTTTGCGCTTTAATGTCTCAACAACTTGTTGTTGTTGTTGTGTCTGTTCCTTTCATAAATTTTTCCCTTTAATTTCATTTAAATTAATTCATTTCGGAAACTTAGATTGATTTGTTGAAAAGTGTAAAATTGCTGAGGACCGTCATAATTTCATTTAAACCTTCCTAGACGGCTTGATCTAATTTGTACGGTTTTGAATAAATTAACATCTTTTTATGATTAATGTGTTATATAATCTTGATTATGCTCTTTAAGGGCCGACATTTCAACATTTATTTTTATGAGCATTTACGCATTAAATTGTTAACAGACGAGTTAAGTTACTATTTGGCTTTTAACTCTTGGTTGTCTGTTATCAATTAAGTTTTCAACTTATAAATTTAAAATTCAAAATTTAAACTTTTGAATTTGATTTGATTTCAATATTGAACTTTAAAATGTATTACCCTGTTTTTTCGTTATAAGCTACTACTCGTTACTAAGCTACTAGTGAGCAAAAAAAATCACTTTTTTATTCTTCTAAGCTACTGGGGGTCCTCGATTTGAGTAGTTGTTTTGTTCCAAAAAATTTATACTCAAATCGAATCTATTCAAATCGAGGCAAAGAATCCATACAAAATTACATGTTTTGTTCCAGAGTCCAAAAAATGAATCAAAACAATGAAAATTTTGATCATTTTTTGCACATTTTACCTCGTTTCTTAACTTTTCCTTTGTGTTTTAGATGACTTAATTAATTTTAAAGCATAATCATATGTAATTTTAACAGAAATTCACAAAAAATATGTTTTTTCAACAAATCAAAAATATGAGAACCTTACAAATGTTATTTCAACCGAACAATTTGTAAGGTTTTTGAATTTAAACTTTTTAAAATCGTTGATTTTATATCGATTTTTTAAATTTTTACTTTAATTTTGTAATTTTAGTATTGATTTTTCTATCAATATGATTAATTCACGATTAGCATTAAAATTTATGTTTTAAAAATATTTTCTGAAAAGTTTTTGTCAAAAATATTTGTTTTGTAAACAATTCAAATCGAAGAAAATAGGAAGAAATCTACTCAAATCGAATATTTTGGTGGGTAATAAATTTTCTGTTCAAATCGAATCTACTCAAATAGAATCTACTCAAATCGAGGACCCCCAGTACTAGCTTATAACGAAAAAACAGGGTAAATTTGAACTACAGAACAAAAATTATATTTAAATTAAAAGAAGCTCTTAAATTTTTGAACTTCTATAGTTCGTTAAATTTGAATTTAAATAAGCCGCTAGATTTTTGAACTCTAGAATTTTTTTAAAACTATGACGATATATAGAGGAATTTACGATTGACTGACTTCATAATTATTTTTTATAAATACTGGCTGATTTAAAAAGCTAGCAACTGAACAAATGTACAGCATGTTTATTATTCACCCACACACAATTGAAAAGTTTCTTTTGTTCTTTCTAATCGAGAACTTTTCCATTAATCCATCAATTTCTAATCTTAATAAAAAATTCAATAAAGTTTGATAGATCATTTATGAGTCAGTAAATCAATAATTAAACAAACAACAATAAATTGAATAAGAAAAAAAAAACTCAAAATCAATGCAAAGTGCCGACAGAATTAATGTCTATATCAGTGAGAAATAATTTAATTGTACACAATAAGCTTTACATAAATTTAAATTTCCATAAAATGAGCTTTTCATGAACAGCAAGAGAATAAATTTCATTAATAAGCACTTAATTGACCTAAAATATTTCTATAATTATAATTAATGCAATTATTCACTCTCAAGAGATTGGGACCTGCCTACAAATTAGAAGTAAGCGAATATAAAGTTGCAGAAATAATTTAATGCAACATTTCTGCATTCAATGGACTCTAATCAAGTCAAGTGCAATTATGCAAAAGGCATATATGTCAAACTATTTAGTAATGACACTCTTTGTGTAACCTTGACCATGTAATAGATACCTAGCTATTGATTATGATAATGTTCAATGCAATGTTATGATTAATTTATTCATCAATTAATATTTCTTTCAGATCCACGCACCAAAGACTGGCCACTAATGTCATCACCATTCCATACACTAGGAATTTGCTTAGGTTATGTTTATATTGTAAAGGTATGTACTTATTTTCTTATCTCTGCTGGGTTGAATGTTGATTTTTAATGGAATGATCAGATTCATTTTTGCTGAAATATCCGTTACTAAACATTTCAAATTATGATAGGTGGAAGTCCACTATTTTAAGAAAATGTTCAAATTCTTCAAATCCGTTAAAAATCAAATCTTTAAAAGTTGCCAAAGTATTTTATTAGAAACTGACCTAAATGAATCTCATCTTGAATTATTAAATTAATGAACAGTCATCTAACGAATGATCTAATTACTTCCAGGTTCTAGGTCCCCGTCTTATGGAAAATAGAAAACCATTCCAGCTGAAAAATACGCTAGTAGCATATAATTTATTTCAAGTTTTATTTAGTACGTGGTTATTTTACGAGGTAAGTTAATCATAAAGTAGCAGAGTGAAAAAAAAAATATCCGCAAGTGTGTGCCTCTTTCTTCCTTGATCGTTATTCGTTTTGATCAAGACATGAAGATCAAGAAGAATAAAACATGAAGAAAATATTAAAATTTTGGCCTCTTCGCAGTGCCATTGAGAAGAAATATTTTCATAACTCATTCCTTTCATTCTACAAGGTTAATATTAATGCTGAGTTGTGTTTTTTGTCATCATAAAGAACTAGATTTTATCGATAAAATATATAGTGTGTGCATTTTGAAGTCATTTGACTAGATTGTAATGAGTGTTTTGAATTCTATCAGCAAGTAATCATCATAAAAAAATTTTCAAGTTGATTATTTTGTCTGCTAGTATTTTTTATATATAAGAAGTGGATGAGTTATATTTTTTATTTCAATTTGTCGCTTCATAAAAAAAATAATGATTCGATAAAAATTGGTTCTAATTTTATAACATTGAATTGTCGTTTTCAGTGACAATTTATTTTTTATTTTATTATTTATACATTGAAATTGAAGAACTTAATGAGCTTAGGATTCATATTTTTATTTAGTGTTTGAGGGGTGGTTGGTGGGGTGAATACAATTTTCGATGTCAACCAGTCGATCACTCCACAACAGGCAGTGCAATGAGAGTAAGTTTGTGTTTAATAAAACTAGTTGAATTTAACAACTTTTCAGCTCTTCTGGATTGTCTTGACATTTATACTTCTTTGAAGTTAGCTAGAGTTACGATTTGAAGTTTATAAAGGAACGTTTAACTTTTTAAAAGATGTGATTGAGGCTATAATGAAGACTTTTCAAGTTTTGCTATGACAGTTTACTATATTTATAAATATTATCCAATGGAAAGTCACGTTTTAAAGCTTAAGAGTATCTGATTGAATTTGGGTCAGTTGCTAGATAGCAGGTAAGGCACCAAAGGCTGCCCTATAATCCTAAGATAAAGTAGAGGAGAGGGAATAATAGACACTCTAGGTAGCACAAAAAAAAAACATTTAATTGAAATATTTAAAACAAAAAATCAGGTCACAATCCAGGAGAGCTGCATTTAAAATTTAATTTAAAGTTCTTAATTAAAGCTTAAAAAGTAATTGATTGAAATTGAATTAAATCAAGATCAAGTACATCAATTTACGCGAACCGAACAGAACAATTTAATTGCATATTTATCTATATTAAAACCAGTGATTCCGCGAGCATATATCGTGTCGTGATACAATTTAAATACTATACTCAATGTGATCATGTGAGAATTTTCTGCGCACTCTCAAATGGATCTCAATTATATCGCAAATTAATTAACACATACACGCCCAATACTGGTGTAATTTTTTTAAGGCAAAGAAAGGAAGGTTGACAGAGTATAATTTGAAAATTCATTAAACATAATCTAAAATAAAAACTAGAAAAATATTCTATCATGAAGTAAGCTTTATTTACTGCACAAAATGCCATTTTTAAGAACTAAAACTTAAGCATACAATGGGATACATTCAGTTGCGTGACATTTTCTTTTCTGTTTCATTACTTCAAAATGCTTTATGCAAAAGGAGAATTTTCGCTTATTCATAATTAATACTATTTTTAATCAGATCATTGACCTTTCTCATACCAACTATTGTACATTATTATTTTCACTTCTATTTCTCTATTTATACATTAAAACAACGATAATGTCATTGCAATGTGTTTTATCCACATGAATAGGGGGTTTATTTTTATTCTTACATGTTATTTTTTATTGATTTGTATGAATGACTTTGTGTGAATGAATGAAGCTTGTGACTTCTAGCGAGATGTGAATATATTATATTACATAAATAAGAAGGTATCAAGTTAACAAAAAAAAAGCATTTAAAGTGATAAATTAACATATTGGTCGTAGATCAAATTAAAATTTGAAGAATGAGTTTCGATTTACTTAATAAAGTGGGATTGAAGTTGGAAAGATATTGGCTAAGATTTTTGAGCTATTTTAATTTAAATTTTTAACAGATTTCATTTGAGTTTTGTGGATTACTCGAAATACTTGAAATGATTCTAAAACAAGATTAATCAAATTTATTGTTTCAAAACCATACAACAGCTATAAATGGCCAAAATACTTAAAACAATACAACAGTTTTTAATAGGAGAATGTTTCAAAACACTACAATAGTCAAATAAAGTTAAATTTGAAAAACCATACAAAAGTTTCAAATCTGTATAACAGTTTTATACATCTCAATGTTCCGAAACCTCACAACAACAGTCTATGATTTAATACTTTAGAACCAAACAATAGTTCTTCTTCTTCTTCTTAATTATCTTTATTAAAGTCCTTTTTAATAAATTTTAAGACCATTTTCAATTCCAAATATGTACCAAACAACAGTTTTTAAACGCAAAATTCTTCAAATCAAGAGAAATATTAGCCAATTATCTTAAACAAATTTCATTACCCCTTTGACTTACTAAAAAAATTACAACTCTCATCCATAAAATTGGTAAATATTGATTTAAGATGCCGAAAATAATTCTCAAAACAAACTTAGAGAAAAACCGACAAAAATGACTCAGCTTCATGTTGAAGACAAGTTGAGATATGTGACCAGCAATATTATTACCAACTATCTGCAAAGGATAAAAAGAAGCAATCTTTATGGAACTCTATTAACACAAGAGCATTCCATATTGACAAAAAGATCAAAAAAAATTCACGCTTTAAAATATTTCTTTTAAATCATGTTACTTACAGATCGGAATATCCGGTTGGTTAACAGGTCATTATAATTTCCGATGTCAGCCAGTTGATTATAGCAATCACCCTAGCACACTAAGGGTAATATTTTAATTACAAATCATCAATTCTTTTTGTTTGTGTGTTATTTGTTTTGTTAATAATGAAATTTCCCACCCATAAAAAAAAAGTACATCCCGTCTATCCATAATATTGTGTATCACAAGAGCTAAATTTTGCTGTCTTAATGTAAACAATTGACGAATTTTTCGGCTTATCGACATTTTATGTTACGCTATGTTATGTGTGATAGCTTTTAATCTGTTTTTGTATGTTGACTACTAACTCTACATCTTGTATTATTTTAATTTCATAATCATTTTTATGTTCCATACTAATATTAAACATTACTTCCACAACTTTTTTTTCATTATCATTTAATTTGAGGCTTGAAGCATAATAACTGTAATAATCCGGCCCTTGGGAAATTTATGTCAGATTGCATTATGCTTGTTATGCTGTGATTTGTGCACGTCACTTGGTGTCATTGTGTAGCTTGTGGTGTCCACAAAGGGAATCGCATGTAGATTTAGATATTTTTGGATGAACTTAAACTTTGGACATACTTGCTTTGATAGATTGTTTTTTGTCAATCATTTAGAACAAGAAATGCTAGTTATTTTCAATTCAGCTTCAATTGTTATTTAATTTTTAATCCCAAATCCTATTCAAGTTTGTTATCTTAATTAATAAATCACTACCTGTGCAACAACACCTGTCAAACAGCCATGACAGCTCTAATTTATTTTATTAACTATGTCCACAAGTTTGATTTTAAAGTTTAGTTTTAAAATAATTCACACCTGAAAATTGCCATCCTGATTTCTTCATTAGACCATGATTGTCTCATTTAGGCACCAAAAAAAGCGCCAATTACATTCAATACCATTAATTTCTGACAAAAGTTTCTCAAGTATTTAACACCTTAACAAAAAAGTAGATGGCTTAATTCCGAGAGATCGCAGTTTTTGTGATAAAATATAAACATTTCTATGTATTATTCTTTAGCACAGAGAATATTGGCACGTAAAGCAACAGATGAAATTTCTGGAATTGTTCATATTCTTGGATAATGTCATGAAGTTCCTGTTCAAGTGTCAATATTACTGTGTTGATAATTGTTGTGTAGTAAAATGATATTTTTAGCAAATTAGTTGGAGGTTGAGTGTCACGTGGATAGGTTCTTGTCATTTTAAAGAGGATTTAGCTTTTAGGGATTGTTCACTAATGAAGCTTATTCATAAATTAGTGTGTGCAATTGATAAATCAATTTTTGATCAGTTCGACACTCTTGTTCTCCTGTAGAAGGAGGGTCCTTTGCTTCATAATTGAACGACTCTAACCTAAATTGCATCCTTGAACATCCAAAAGAATGACATCAAATCTGTCGCAAGATTTGTCACCAAGCTATGGAAAAATTCAGTTATGATTAATTTTTTCGTATATTACAAGCTTGAGTGTCAATTCTAGACACAAAACCTCTGATAGTATCGCATGATCCCTTCCTCATAAAATGTAAATGAAAATTTTGTAAAAGAAAATATGCTCAAAACATTTAAACACGTGCAGAATCAACAATTATAAACGCCACGTCAAAATTTTCTGTTTGTAGTCTTTTTTTTGTGTTGCAGCATGAAAAATACTTCATTTTATATTTTGCAATCCTATCAAATTTATACCGCAATTCATCTTTTGTGTGTAAATCCTAAAAAATTTGTAGCTTTTCGCAAAAAGCAAATAATTTATAATTTATGGTTCGTTTAATTTTTATGTTTAGTGAACTATTTTAACATAATTATGTGAATTTATGACATCTAATAGAAATTTCTTTTATTTTTTTCTTCCTGCAAAATTTTTCACATTAATATTTATACCATTAAGATGTGTCACGCATGTTGGTGGTATTACTTTTCAAAATTTACTGAATTCTTCGACACTGTAAGTATCATTAATGTTCGTGTGGTGAGAAGTTGAGTGAAAATTGTGGCAATATACTGATTTATAAAGGATTTTAAATTTGATCAGAACCTTACAAGTTCAATTAAGAAGAACATTTGTATGGTTTTGATTTTTGAACTCAAAATTTAACGTAATTTGGGCTCAATTTTGAATTAAGGTTCAATTTTTTGAATTTCAAATTTCCGTTTTATTTTGCTTTAAATATTCGTCCACAATCTTCACTCAACTGCAACCTCCTCAATCATAAATTATAGCATCTCGCTAATTTCTCACTTAACATGACTAGTAAGTAATAAATCATATAATTTTATCACCTGTTCACTGCTAGCTCTTCTTTGTGCTGCGCAAAAAGACAAGTCAAGTGTCGACACTTCATGTTATCCATCACGGCGTAATGCCTATGTCTGGTATGTTTATTTGTGATGTGATAAAATAAATTATGTTAAAACGATTACTAGTATGAGATCACACTTTAATTGTTGTTCCTCTATTTAAAACAATTTTACAGTATGGTTTGGCGTAAAGTTCACTCCAGGTGGTCACAGTACATTCTTCGGCTTGCTGAATACGTTCGTACACATCATTATGTATACATATTACTTACTGACAGCAATGGGTCCACAATATCAAAAGTATTTATGGTGGAAAAAGTATCTGACTTCCCTTCAAATGGTATGAATGCTGTCATTAATTTTATTCCTTTATATTAACTCAATTTGTAAATATATTTATTTTCTTGTTTACAGGTACAATTTATTCTCATCATGGTTCATGCTTTCCAACTCCTTTTCGTCGACTGCAATTATCCAAAAATATTCGTTTGGTGGATCGGTGCTCATGCAATCATGTTCTTCTTCTTATTCAAGGAATTCTACAGACAATCTTACAATTATAGAAAAGTGAGTCAATTTGGGAATTCTTCAAAATTGTAAGGAGGTTCTAAATATTAGTAAAGTATACTCGAGTAATTGAGCACTTAGAAATCTTTAGATATGTAAAATACAGCCACAAGAGATCATTGGGTAACAAATTAATCTTGTTTTTGCTACAAAAGCTGTTGTTATGCTTTTGCAACAAAGAATATCAGTGACAAGACAAACAACTTATTTTTCAATGATTCTGATAATAATTTAAGAAACAAGTTAATCTTTTAGTTGATAATCTTAAAGTTTCAGTGTCAATTAAGATTTAAATAAATTAAATGATTGACATGAAACTTTAAATAAAAGTCTTAGTCTAATTGCGACCATGGTTTAGACTTTATTGCGTTGCATTTTGTTACTGAATTGATTATGATCTTTCAAGTCGTTGCTTTTTATCACAACTTTTGTGTCAATCTAATATTATTGTCTTTAGCTAATTCCTTTTTAGTAATAACATTAAATAATAACAAAGAACCTTCGTCTATTTCCATAGATTATTCAATAGTACAGTACCTCGATATTTATAGATAATTTTGGAACCTCCAACTTAGAATTAGAACAGTATTATTGCTTCCATTACTGAACACGAATAAAAATGAATATTTTGCTTTACAGTTAAGATCAGGGAAAACACAATCGAATGGCTATTCCAATGGGTCAATAACATCGAAGAAACACGACGGTGACAAACTCACAAATGGTCACTGTAATGGAGTCAGTAAAACAGAGGAGACGACAGAGCAAAAGCATCAAAATGGAACAGCAAATGGCTGTAGTGTGTCCGATTACTATGTAAAAAGTGAGGATATAACAACGAATATGTCGCTAACGCAAAGAAAAGTCACTGCTGAGCAATAAAGTTAATTTTTATATTTTCAAGTTTAACTGTTAGAGATAAACACAAAAAAGAAAGAAACTTTAAAAGTTAGGCCATAGAAATGAAAGAGAAGGTAAGAAAAGAAGAAAAATAAATTAAGAGGAATGCAATCGTTGAGATTTAGTCATAAAAAATTACATGAATTGATATCTGAGTGAAAACTTAAAATGATAATTATATACAAAAAAAAAAAAAACTAAAACTTCTATTGAATGCAGCTCCTTTTAGTTTTATATTTTGGATTTGTGTACTTTAAAATGATGAAAGTAGAAGAAAATTAACCGTTTTTGTACATTAATGAAATTATGAAAGAAGATGAAAAAAATATTTTAAGTACCGAATGAATCTTATTAAAGAATGAAAAATATTTAATTATTCAAATGTTGTTGATTCGAGAGGAGAAGAAAAAAGTTGTTACTTGATTTTTGTATAGTTTAATAGTCATAAAATGATATAACTAGTAATTAATCAGGGATTGAGTTGATTAATTGGAACTATACAAATTTTTGTGTTGTTCATATAATTTGAAAGGTTTTTAAATTTCAAAACCTCACAATTCCAAATATGTTTCAAATTCCCAATATTCCAGAAAATGTTCAAAATCCATACAATTCCAATTCCAAGAAATGTTCAAAACCTTTACAATTCCAATCTTAAATTTAACGAATTACATTAGAACGAAAACCATACAATTGCCTCAAGAGATTTAAAAACCATACAATTGATTTCCAAATTCAAATTATTAACGGATATTTCAATAAAATTGATTCAATTCCAAAAAAATAAAGCCCTGATTATAATAAAATAAAAAGCTAATTTATAACAATACGAAACATTTCGTAACTCCCAACAATTTATTTCCTCTAAGTGTGATCAAATTCAACAATTACTGCATATTTGCATATTATAATCAAGTAACAACTTTTTTTTGCGACGTCAATCAACAAATAATAAACAAACTTTTTTCTACTTGAATTGGTGAAGAATTCTTCACACATTTAGAGTAATTGCTTCATTGAATAAAAAAACAAAATCTCATTCATTATTCTCCTCAAGTGTAAGATGATGTATGAAACTATCATATTTATGCGACATGTAAGGCTTTCTGATGATTATTTTAACCTCTCCTCCACTTCTTATGATAAATTTAAATGAATTATTATTATTTTCTCGAATAAGAACAAAAAAAAACTACAAAGTTAAGAGAACAAAATAACATCAATAATGAATCCAAAGTTATCAAGTTAATGAATTAAGCAAAGCTTCAAAGCGAATGTAAGAATTATTAACATTAAAAAAATGAAATTAGGTACAATGTGAATCATGTTTACAAAAAAGTTCATTTATTAGTTTCTTTCCTTTCTTTTTGAAATGCAAACAAGTTTCTTATGATCTTATTTTAACTAGGGTTCGTTCATGAACGACTTCAATCAATATATAGACCCGACATTACTCAAGAGCTTTATTTTGTTTAAACTATCTCAAAATGTAAACCTTTAAATTGATAGACGTCATTTATGAATGACCCAATACCTTAGTTTAAACTCAATTTGACCACTTTTAATGATTGACACAGTATTTTGTGTATGTCCACATTCCTTTATGCTTTTCCCTTTCTTTTAACTCGCTATCGTATCATTTCTTTTGTATCGGGTTTTGGGCATTTTTTGGCAAATCAATTACGTGATATGTTCACTTTGTTACGTCTTATTGGATTTCTTTTTGATTGTCTGGAATGATTATTGCATGTAAAAACGACACCTGATTAACATCACAAGTTACTCTAGTTTAAAATCCTGTTCTCAACTTAACTTTCGCGGCATCACCTTAAATATTAGGAATCATTTTTTGGGGGTCGTTCATGGATGATCTTCATAAAATTTGATGTCACTTATGAAGGATCCATTTATTAACTTAAGTACTTTATGTAAATAATTCGTATTTAGAGGACTTAATTAGTTGTAAGTTGATTCCTGCGGTTCTTCGTCATTTTCTGGGGTAGCTACAAACTAAGGCATATCCTACTTGATGCTTACCTCAGATAATAGCGAAAAATCCGCATTAGCAATGATAGTTCCGGTTTCTCAATGATATTATATACTTAACAAGAGGATAAACTGTTATAATTGAGGCTTACATCATTCCTCAAGCATAAAAGCCCTAACAAAGACCATTAAAGTGTTCAATATATGTTGCGATATTTAAATCTCAGCCCACCAAATCTACTGATCGGTTTCATTACATTAAAAGCCCAAAATCCCTGTGACTTATCATTAATGTCATTATTTCTACGATTATTCCTCAATTGAGGTTGGAAGAGAGACGCTTATTATTTCCTTTAAGTTACTAGATCGCTTTTGAATGTGAGAAAGTGCAAAAGCTTCAGCGAATAATCTTGGAATCTGTATGATTTGCATTTAGAAAACTATTATGCATAGAGAATCTCTTGTCTGTAAAGGATACTCATTGAACTATGCATTTATGGTATTAACATCGAGATCTTTTTGTTTTGTGAATTCTCTTCGTCGTCCCAACCTTAATTGTGCATTCATTTATTTTATTTAATTTTATTATTTCGCTTTTATTAGGAAATTCAAAAAGAATCTTTTAAAAAATCAATGAAAATGAATTGGAATTTTATAGAATAAAATATAGAGATATTATGTGTAAATTTAAATATGATTTTTTGCTTTAACATGAGTATAAAAGAACTAATTCATCGCTTTGAGCATTGTACTGTAAATCAAATTGTAACGTTTTGAAATAAAATGCTAAAAAAAATAGAATGAAAAATTGATATTTTGAGTTATTTATTTACATTTGTTTCAGGTTTATTACAGTTTATTATTTAAAACTTATTAGGTTTTATTATAGATTTTAAGTTTGAATTCATCAGTTTAAGATTTTGAAATCTTCTAACGGCTGTAAAGATTTTCAAAAAACAAACGCTATTTAAAATTTAAAATGATAACGGTTTCTATTGATTTGAACTTGAGAAGAATTTGTAAGGTTTTTAAACATTTGTTCAATTTAAATTATTACGATTTTTAAGAACTTAAATGTTAATCATTTGTAGGGTTTTCAAAATTCCAATTTTAATTGATCAAAGCATAAATTTCAAAGGTCAAAAAATCGGTTTATAGATTTTAGGTTTGAATTCATCAGTTTAAATTTTGAAATATTCTACCGGCTGTAATGATTTTCAAAAAACAAACGCTATTTAAAATTTAAAATGATAACGGTTTCTATTGATTTGAACTTGAGAAGAATTTGTAAGGTTTTTAAACATTTGTTCAATTTAAATTATTACGATTTTTAAGAACTTAAATGTTAATCATTTGTAGGGTTTTCAAAATTCCAATTTTAACTGATCAAAGCATTAATTTCAATAGTCAAAAAATCGGTTTTTAAAAAAACTTCAACTTCTGCAGCATATTCACCTGTTTCACCGTTAACGGATTTTGTTTTGAATAAACTCGTCTAAATGCAACATATATTGTAGACATGAGCAGTGCGTAGCATAAAAAGTCGTCGAAAAAATCTGAAAATCTTGCCCATCTTTAATAGCGAAATTGTTAAGCGAATAAATATTTTAAAATTTAATTTAATCCTGTATTTTTAAGTCTTTCTTTTACAAAAGTAGTTTAATCCTGTACACAAAGTGTTTAATTAAGTTATAATAATCAAAACATCATCCAAAAATCAAAGTTTTATTCATATTTAATGATTTTATTTTTATCGTCCATTATCCAATCATAAATAAACGTCAAATAAGAGGAAAAACAAATGATTCCGTATTCTAAAACTGTATCAAAAGTGTCAATAAAATTATGGAAACAGAATCAGTAAAATCAGAAAGGAGTAATCGATCGCATAAAAGTCGAAATTCAGGAATAAATTCGCACCGTTCAAGGCATTCGAATCGAAATCAATCGGGTAATAAAGGAAAAATGGCACCGTTCCAAACAACAGTTAATTTATCCAACGATGATTCTCGTGAAGGACATGGTCAGGAAGTGATTGAAGTACAGATCCTGCCACAAGATGAGAATTGGGGAACGGAGACTCACATTACGGGAAATACATCAGAACAAAGCATCTCAATGGAAAATGTTAATTGGCCTACAAATGAAAGTGGTGCACTAGCTTGTCAGAAACATTTTGAACAGATTATCGCACTTCTATTGTGTTTGGCATCATTTTTTAGTCCAATCAGTATGGCACTATTACCTAAATTAGGGTTTTTCCCATCGACTTTTCAAAATGAGGAACTCAATCAATTGACAAAATTTCAATTATTAGACTGTAATGCTGAATGCAAAGGTAATAGACACATCCAGTTGCTGGATCTTTAAAAAGTATTAATTATTGTATTCTTATGTTTTGCAGGCTTACTAGTAACATTAACTACAAGACAATTACTGCTTGCAATCGCACTATGGGCGCTTTTCTTCCGTCGACCAGTAGCAATTATGCCTCGAATTTTTCTATTTCGATCGATATCACTTCTATTAGTTTTAATAGTGACATTTTCATATTGGTTGTTCTACATCTTCCAAGTAACAGAAAGTATTAGGAAAGCAATTGTCGATGGAACGGAAGTAGCAAATTACAAGACTTTAGTGTCATATGCGATCAATTTTAGTGACACTCTTCTTTTTATACACTATGTAGCCGTCATATTGCTAGAAATTCGTCATTTACAGCCACTGTATTATGTGAAAATTGTTCGATCTCCCGATGGTTTGTCTAAAAGCTATCCAATTGGACAATTATCAATACAAAGAGCATCTGTATGGATCTTACAAAAGTATTATACTGACTTTCCAGTCTATAATCCATATCTTGAGAGAATTCCATTATCGAAGCAGCAACGTAAAGCATTATCGACAAGTTTCAAGTATTATGACGTAGACGGTTCCATTCAACCAACACAACAGCAACAGAGTCAAAGAGCAGTATTGGCAGCGCATGCACGAAGACGCGATTCATCACATAATGAGAGATTTTATGAAGAACATGAATATGAGCGTCGTGTAAAGAAGAGACGTGCTAGATTAATAACAGCTGCCGAAGAAGCTTTCACACACATCAAGCGTGTTCATGATCAATCAACATCGAATACATTAGATCCACACGAAGCAGCAGCTTCAATATTCCCATCATTAGCCAGAGCTTTACAGAAATACCTCAGAGTTACAAGACAACAGCCGAGATTCTCAGTCGAATCAATTTTAAAGCATTTATCTCATTGTCTTAAGAATGACCTCTCACCGCGTGCATTTCTTGAATCATACTTAGTTGAGATGCCAGTTCTACAGAATGAGAAAGAACGTCACAATCAGTCATGGTCATTAATATGCGACGAGTTACTCTCACGTCCCATTTTCGACTCATGTGTTTTTCAGTTGGTTCAAAATGATGTGTCACTTACCGTTTCAGTGCATAAGATACCACACTTTAATATCACTGAAAAAGTCGTTGATCCAAAGTGTAACAAGTTTGTGCTGCGTTTAAATTCAGAAACGAGCGTTTGACACGACTTTGAGAATGAAAATGAAAAGAGAATTATTGTATAATTAGAGTTATATTTATAAATAATTGATTTCATATCTAAAATTAAGTGATTATCAAGCATATTTGACATACTCAAAACTCTGTAATCTCTCTCTCTTTACTCTTCTTTAATTTCTTTTTGATAGAAATGAAAAGTTTAATATCTTTTTTTTAGAAATTTTTTAATTTAATTTAAAGAAAAAATTATATGAAGAAGCATTAATGCTGAATAATTATTATCGCACTATTTTCTATGAAAAACGCATATCTTTCGAGTAACAGTATGGAATGTAAAAGTTTATAGATTGAAAACAACAAAGGATGCAAGTACTATTGATTAAGACTGTCTATCTGAACTGATTATTCTTTTACACCACTTTACTTTATTTATACATGAGGAACATGCTTTATTTGATTTCATATGGATTGAATTTACTTGTACTTATGACACGTATTAATGTTTTAGAACAAAAGTATTGATTTAAAATTTAACGACTTTTAAAAATTTGAAAAATTGTTCAATTTACAAACATTTGTATGGTTTTAGAATGACGCTGAAATTGAAGACTTTTAATTTTAAAACCATACAAATGTTTCCCAGTGCTTCAAAACCATACAAATGTTTTCAAACTTAAAAAGTCCGTTAAATTTTTAAAATGCATTTAAAGTATTTTTATTTTATATTTTTTCCATGAAATTATAAGATTTTTAAATAGAAAATTAACGAAAAAATATAAAAGAATCTCAACGACTTACTATTAATTTAATTATAATTGCTCAAAATCCAATCAAAGATCTTCAAAAAAAAATCCATATGAACTCACTTTATGATTATTGATATTAACTTTACACAAAAAGAAAAAAAAACTCTTAAAATTAAGAAATTATTGGCACTATATAAAAACTTTCTTTAATCACGCACAGCAAATTGGACGTCAATTTGGTTGTATGTGCTGGAATTGATAAATAGATAGCAATTATCTTTACAATTTTGTACTTAATGCAGCTTTTTGAGATTTTTATGAACAAATAAAGAACTTTTATAAAATTAGTAGAAAAAAAAATCGTTTGTTTTTGTAACACACAAAAGCTGACTTACCTACTTCCTTCCACATAATTTATTCATCATATTTTGAAAAATTACGCAATAAAGATGAAAAGAATTATAAATTATTCACAATTGAAATCGCAACAATTAATAACAAAACAGTTTTGAAAATGAGGGTCGCTTCTATTTACCATAAAAACGCCTCATGCACGGAAATTCTCATAATTGCTTTTCTCTTCAAAAGAAGTAACAAAAACAAAGATTTAAGTGCATAGCACAACATAATTAGTCATGCATAAAAATTTTTTTTTTTCTGCTCATGTTTATCTTATGATTCTTCTATATAACATAAGCTGCTGCTCTGCCTGATAAAACCGCGTTGAGAAACTGCAACATTGACTTTCACTTTTTGTTTTTATCAGCTCAACTATTGATAATAAAGTGTAGCTAATGCTGTGTTGTAATCAGTTAAATACAGATGATCAAAACAATTCTATAATTACATGCTTTCCACCACAATAAAGAAATCATTAATCATTATTATAATTGATACATGAACTTATGTATGCATAAAGATATTTTATATATTTCCTCGTAATATTGAAAAGAAAGCTTCGATATTTCTATTATTGTGCTTTTTGCTGTTACGATTCTTTTTGTAACAAATTTGTTTCATCGATAGATTCGCGCATGGTGTGGCTGCATCACTGAATGTTTGAGAATCTCATTGATTTTGTCTTAACCGTTAAAAATAATTTTGAATTTTATGATTTTTTATTTTGTTGCTGTTGTATGGTTTTAACGGTCAACATTTGAATTTTCTTGGTAATTTTTGCTGTTGTAAGGTTTCAACAGGGGTTTCAACTATTAGAAGTTTGAATTAATTTAAAACCGGTTACTGATAATTTGACTGTTGTACGGTTTTAGTTTTTCTTGATAGAAAATTACAAAAAACAAGATATCAACTAAACCCAGAACCTAAGCAAATAACTCGAAAAATAAGCATAGAATTCACACAACATAGCCCATCCACAACATGTACATACATACATTTAATAACTTAAAAACTACCGCCGAAGAAAAAAAAAATCTTCCCACCAGTGCGATAGAGCTAAGCTGTGCAATTTTATATTTCTAATTTACTTCAAAAAACATTTCTGTTGGAAAAATCTCAATTAGTTTAGTTTAACTTTAAATTTCTACGCATAAACATCATAATTTTAAGTAAGAGATACCCAAAAAAGGCGTAATAATAATATATATCAGTAGCTAAAAGCTCATGTGATGTGCACTTGAAAACGACGTGACTTGAGAAATTTTCCGAAAGTTTAATTAAATTAAATATAAAAAAAAATAAAAAAGAAAGAAAGAATCAAAAAAGTGAGCATAATTATGGCCTTTCATGATTTGATTCGTTCGCTGATCATTGTAAGTTTGTGGAAATTAGTAAAGCACAATAGATTTAATTGATGAAAAGTAATAATAGTGAATTAAAAAAAAATGTTCAATTTCAGATACAATTTCCAATAATTTGTCTAAGCCATGGCTTGCAAGATGTGATATTATCTCCAAATGAATTTAATGGAAAATATGTGAAATTCAATCGATTGATTGATTTGTCGACAAAGGTACCATGGGAGGAACCGCTGAAAGAAAGTGCTCGAATAGCCTTAAGCAGTCCTAGTGTCAAGTATGTAGACATGCTTAAATATAAATTTCTTTTACTTAATAAAATAATTCACAGTAAGGACATGCTGTTACAAGCACCATATGTAGGATCAGCAAATTTCGATCCATCAGCTTTCGGTGACATTGTCATACTAGCTAAAGGAAAATTGAAAAAGTTTACGAACGAGACATATTTATTTGAGGAAATCCACGACGTGTGTGAATATCAGTGTCAAAATAATGCGGATAAATATTTGGAGAATGTAACAGCTTTATGGATGGTTGAAAGAATAAGACATCGCGATGCGGAACGTCAATATCGTTATGACTTGAAATTCACAATTGTACCTATCTTTAGTGGCAGAAATGCTCTATTAAAGAGCAACAATTTGGAGGAAAGATTACGAAATATTTTGAAAAAGACATTCATTCTTAGAGACACAGACTATCCAAAGTACTTTCAACAAATTGTACCGAAAATTGCAAGACGTGCTGATATTAATAGAAGTATGCCAAGTTATGTGACACCGAATCACTTGATGCATCATGCGTACAGCTATTCTCATCCACCAAAAATGCATCATTTAAATATGGGAGAATTTATGAAAAAGCAAGCATATGTAGTTCCAAAACAACCGTCACAAAATAATTATTATGTCCAAAATATCAATCGATATCCAATAAGATTTCCTGATTCCCGTGAAAACTTTTCATCATTAAAAAGTCCACCTTATCGTGCAAAATTGCCAATTAAAGAAGAAGAGGAAAGGCAGGAAGCTCACATTGTCAATAATGTAGTCGATCATCGTGGTGCTGTAGATTTGAGTAATAAGCAGACAGCACAATCGTTTGCCAACTTCAATTCTCAACAATCTCATTCAAATGTCAATAATTCACCACTTAAGTCACTTCCTGCTCGATCTACTGGCTTATTTATGTCACAACCAGCTATTTTACTTCCACAAATGCCAATTTCCTTATTTCATGTAGCTCCTTATACCATTCCATTGCATCTTCAAATGTCCACACCAGCTAATCAAGTGCTTTATGCACAGCAACATGATGTGACTACTTTTAGATATCCAAACTTCCTTAATTCCCATCATCAAGTCCTCCCTCAGTTCCAATATCTTAACAATAAGACTAAAACATTTAAAGAAAGCGAGAGAATCATTCCTCAACAAAGTTATTCACTTCCAGATCCAGTTTATCATTCTACGTCCACAACAACTGATAAGCCAATTTATCCAACACAATATACTCCAAAATTGAGTAATTATGTTACTGCTAGCAGTATTCAAATCAATTCTTATGATAATAATGAGTTCCAGCCAATTGTGTCTCCATTTTCATCCCCAAAGAACAAATTTGACAATAAGAAGATTGTCTTTAGTTCCGATGAGAAGATTCAGTCAAAAACTACAAAATATCAGACTAGACATGCCACAAATAATAAAGAACGGATTAAATCTACATCGACAACAACTCAAGCTACAATTACAACAAGTACCACAGATTTTCCACGAAGTTACGAACAATTAGATTATGCGAACTATGATATAGTCGCTACTCGTCCGAGCGTGACTAAGAAAACTACAGAAAAGCCAATTCTTAAATGGCTGCCGAAGAGGCATCGAAACAAAACATTATTGAATGTCATAACAACTCCAGCACCTATAAAAAGCTCATTCTCAGCATCAATAGAAACAACAAGTCAATCATCAGTTCATCCAACCATTAAAGCATCCACATCTACGCATTCGCAAATATTTCGCGGTAGAAATCGCTTCTACAGCAACAATAATCATCAAAAAAGAAATTCCAGTACGTCAACCGTAACGGAAAAATCGACAACACTTTCTTCCAACTTGAATCAAAATTTGAGCAAGCAATTTAAGAGAAAATTGTCTCTGACAACAACGCTGTTGCCGATAACTACACAATCGCCTATTAATGCTCAAACCACGACAGTTTTTCCGACACATTCAGTTACATCATTTTATGACACAAAAGAGCCAATTACATCGCAAAGTTACAGTACATCGGTGAGCTTACAAGTTGATGGTGCTGACAAGGTAGACACAACGGCTTCATATGAACTACTTCCGGCAAGTGTTGAGACAATTAATAGTAATTCTACTAATATTAAAATTTATCGAGCTTCTGAGGATGTAGATGTGAATGATGAGCGGTTGAATATCGATGAAATTGCGTCGACTATACTTAAACATGCTAAATCTACTGATAATGTCAAGAAATCGATAAATAAGAATTAATAATAAAATATGTTTTTAATTTAATTAAAACTTCTTTTGTTCTCTTTGGTCTCCGTAAGGGTTGTTGACAAACTAGTCACTGAAATTAATGATCGAAAAATATTTAAAATTTAACTGTCATAAAATATTTAAAAAAAAAATCGTCGAAATATATTTGAAACTTAAATGTCAAAAAATATTCAAATCCCCAAAAGACGTTACTTTGTGATTGACCCAAAATAAGTTTTTATTAATCTTCGATTACAGCTCTTCTAATTATTACAGTTCACTTCCATTATTTAATATATTGTATTGTTATTATTGTTATTTAATTTGATTATAATAGTGCCTAGAAGTTTACTTTGTAAGTGCAACAAACTGCGAGAATACGTCTAAAATATGAGAATCGACTTGTGTGAACAGCAGACTTTCCAATGTTGTTGAATATTTTTGGACTTGCTCGTGGTGCTGTGCAAGAGAAAAACAAAGGAATAGTGGAAATAAGTAAACAATAAATCATCTGTAATCTAATTTTAATTTCTGATGCTAGATTAAAATCTGAACGGAAATTCATTTGCTGAGGTTTTATGCTGCTAATGATGTTTAAATGGACCGTTTTGTTTATAAAAGTAGTTTTGATGTTAACGACTTTTAAATTCCACATTTTGGATTTTAAATTAAATTGCGTGAAAAATCAAGTCGTATGAAGACTACGATTATTGACACTAAATTGTCATTGAGCATTAACATAGATGCTTATGCTTGATTTATTTATTTCAAAAGTCGTACGCGGTGCACGATTCTTGACACAATTTCCTTTTTAAAGCTTATCTAGATTCTAATGGTAGCCAAAAAAATTCAAAGTCGCACGCAACATAGAGTTCTGGTCGTAAAGCCTCTAATCATATGTATTTTTCATCTCATGATTGCAATATAATCCACACACTGCACACGATTATTGCAATAATTTTATCATTTCATGCACTTTTAGTCATGGACTTATTGTTATAAATTACAAAACCGTATAAATCACACGACTAAGTGAATAATTTCAATTTCATATGACTTGATGAAAGTGGTGTGTTGCTAACGACTATGCATCATTAATTTCATGCATATTTATGAATAGTTTCTGTGACTGAAAATTACATTATTGAGCATATTATCAAGATCACAGACCTTGGGATGCACATTTATTAATTTATAAAATATTTATCTAGTAGCTATAAAGCCTTAATATCAATGTCAGACATTATCATTGAGTAAATGCAAATATTGTGCATGTATTCGTACTTTTTACACTTCATTAAGGCCATGATCACTGCCAAAGAATCGCAACTAAAATTCTCATAATTAAAATACTTTAGAACAGCTCAAAATGACATAAAACAGCACTCAATAGCTGTAAGAATGACTAATTGAGACTCAAATGCAGACTAGAATCTAGAATGCAAACTTGAGTGCAATTTATTTAACAAGCCAGTCTACTTCAGTTTATTAGCCTAATTTTGAATCATTAAATGCATATTCAGCAATAGAGAAGATAAAGAAGAGTACTTACGAGAAGGAAAACTTGTTGAAGACGTCCAATAGTCCAACGGTACCAATCAGTGTTAAAATCTCTGCCGTCAGTGTCACATTTGACTAAATGTTCTGACAAAATCATAATGAAGCGCTGGAAGATGATGAGGAAAATCCTCTTTTGATCACCGTATGCTGCTTCCAATTTTTCTTCCATCTTTTCAACGGCCTGGAAGAATTAAGAAAAAAAACCCAAAATTTAACGGTTTTGTACAATTTAAAATTTTTAACGGTTTTGTAGAATTCAAAAATCGAAGTAGTTTTTAAACATAAAATTCAAAGTTTAAATAAACGTTAAAATCTCACCTCTTCAGTGGGTCTTTCAACATTTTCATCCTTCTTCTTTTTAGTGGATGTTTCAGTGTCAGAGTCATCGCTTGATGAAGATTCAACATCTCTAGACAGCTTATCTTTTGCTTCATTCAATTCAGCACTCAATTTCATGACGTGCTTGTTCATTTTCTTGATCGTTAAATGAAGAATTTCCCACAAATACATTTTAGTGAATTCAACAGACATTTCCTTTGAAAATACCCAAGTTGCAACGGATGAGCACTCGACAATTTGTGTCTTTAACAGTTTATCGACAATAACTACCATCATTTGTTGATGATCATGCCACAATTCAAAGACATTGTTTAATAAGCAAATTTGAGCTTCTTCCGAATCAGCAAGTTGTTTGAAGACATAATGAAATTTAGAAATAGCAGCAAATGTGTGTGAGAAACTCTTTGAGCCCAAATTCAATAATGTCTGTGTAAATACATCAATTTTCAATGGATTGAATGTCGTCTCAATCATGTCATTTTCTGTGTCGCGTGGATTTGGCAAATCTTTCAATTCATTCAAAATTTCTTCCGGTGTGCACTTTTGACGAATAGCAACGACCAATTTGTGAGCTGTAGCTGTGCCTAATAATGATGCAGCATTTTCAGACGTATATTTATAATCAGGCTGTGTAATTGGTGGAAGTAACTTTTCATAAGCTTCAGGCATCATGTCCTTAACACGTTGATAATAAGACAATCTTAAACATTTCAGCAAAACTTCTTGAATGAATTTTGGTCTTGGATGTTCTGGTTCCAAAAATAAGCAGCTATCCCAATCATCCCATGACCATCGGAACTGGAAGTTACTCAAATGGTATGAGAACCAATTAACAAAACGATCAAAGCATGATGTATTCATAGAATCAATTCTCATAAACAAGATTTCAGTTGCTTGAGCCAAAACTTGAGGCATTGTCGATGGCTGTAACTTGCACAATTCAATTAAAATTGATCCATAACAAATTTCGAGATATCTTGGTGACGGCATGTGAAATAATTCACTGAAAATGACTTCGACAATGCAATATTCCAATGGAATTTTACTCTTATAAGGAAAGCTCAATAAATGACTTGCACAGTCCTTCCTTTCAAGATTATGAGTCTCAATGATTGAATGCAAATGTTCTTCAATTAAGAATCGTTCAATTGAATGTGCACCAGGCAAAATTGGACCGTCTGGACAGTCAGTATAATCAAACATACGATAAACGACCCATGGCATTGGATATACGTAGCTTTCATGATGTGGTGGTGGAATTATTTGTGGCAATGAGTGCTGTAAGGCTTCACACAAAATAGAATCAAACGCCAAGTATGGTCTTGGAATGTACTTTTCAGCCCAAGATTCATTACGAAGTTTTCTTATTTGTGCCCATAAACAATCCAAATATTCTTCTTGTGGATGTGGAGTATCAACTGACCAAACTCTTAATGCATTATGATGCTTCTTAGTTCGCTTATTTAAGAATATTTCGATACGAACAAGTAAATTTTCAAGTGCTGATTCCTTCTTTTCATAAAGATCACGTCCAACCCAAGGCAAAGTTGATAGAACTGAGAATACATACCAATCACGACGAACTTGTGGAACTGTATCATCAGTACTTGCATCAACCATCGATTCTAATAATTGCAATAATGACGTTGCAGAAATTACATTGCAATTAACAAGATCAGACAGGAACCGAAGAGAATATCTAGCTGCATCCCATTTGCAGTTTTTGAGGCTATCCTTAAAATTTTTCACCATATGATCGACGAATTCACCTCCAAAGTTGTAGTTCTTGGCATTTAGTAAGCCCACTAATGTAGAATAGATTGTGCATTTTTCTGGAAGTTTTACAGCACAATCAGATAGAATTCGAAGGATCTTGTTTCTAAATGTCCCTAAATCAGCTTCTAAAACAGCAACTAATCCTTCCAAATTCGATTCTAAACTTGATGTTGTCTTCTCACCAACTCTTAGAATCAAACTTTCAAGACGATCCTCAATTTCCTGATTATCTGAAACTCGGCGTCTTTTTGGTCTTCGTTCTTAAAAGATATTTTTTCATATTACACATTTTTCATTCAAAAACACTTTAATTCGACTTTTAATGACTATATTTCATTCTTACCATATTCGTCATCATCTTGATAAGGACGTCTTCGATTCATTTTATCTTTAAAACTCGTTTTTAACTAGTTATTTAATTAAGAATTAATTTTTTTTCACAATAATGATTCTTCAAACTACGATATAGGGTAATCAACCAAATTTCAGTGATATTTAAATAATTATTAACCGTTATGTCAATTCTTGAATTACAGGACGCAGAGATATGATCTTTTTTGAATTGGTTTTCTGTAATATTTAAAGATATGTGAGCGATTAAAACTGCAAGTTAAATGCTTTCAAATTGTTTAAAAAGTAAAGTTTAAGTTTGAAACTTATTTTCCGCACTTTTGTCATTGAACTTTTCAAACTTTTTTCTCAACTATCGATCCCCCTTCAGTTTTGTTTACAAGGTTTAAAAACGATTTCAATTATCTGGACTTAAAAATCACTTAATTAACTTCATTAATCATGCCGGTGAATCCACAAAAACGTCCAGGAGACAATTTAAATCAAGTGGCAGTAATACAGACAGCAAAAAAGTCCAGAAATGACGAGCTTGTGCCAACTTTAAAGGATAAACAGCTTATGGAAAAGGGAATTGCTCGAACAACAAACTTATCAGCACCAATTATGAAGTTAGAAGGTCATGAGAGTGATATTTTCAGTTGTGAATTTCATCCAGACGGCGAATACCTTGGTAAGGACAAGATCCAGTAAACAAAAGTTCTTTGATTAACAATTTTTGTCTTTTATTTAAAGCTTCTGCTGGATTTGACAGGAAAATCTTCGTTTGGAGTGTCTTTGGAGAAGAATGTCAGAATGTAGCAGTTATGAGTGGACATAAAGGAGCAATTATGGAGATGCATTTCAGCCCGTCTGGTGATTCCATTTATACTTGCAGCACAGACAAGTTTGTGAGTGTCTGGAATGTTGAGACAGCACAGCGCATACGAAAGATGAAGGGACATCAAAATTTTGTCAATTCTCTTGGAAATGCGAGACGTGGAGTCGAGACTTTAGTGTCTGGAAGTGACGATAACACTAGTAAGTCTATTAATTTAACTTTTAAGTTCTTTAATTTAAATAATATTCCTTCTGATCAAATAACAGTCAAGATTTGGGATGCGAGGAAGAAATATGTATGTCATACATTCGATAACGAATATCAAGTGACTGCTGTCTGCTTAAACGATACAGCTGAACAAGTAATATCAGGCGGCATTGATAATGATATAAAGATATGGGATATTCGCAAGAACGAGATAGTCATGAAGTTAAAAGGTCATTCAGACTCAATTACTGGTTTAAGTTTATCGCCTTGTGGAAACTATGTCTTATCAAACTCAATGGACAATACATGCAGAATCTGGGATATAAGACCGTACTGCTCAACAGACCGTTGCAAAACAGTTTTTCAAGGACATACACACAATTTCGAGAAGAACTTATTACGGTGTGTATGGAGTAAAGACGGTACGATGATATCAGCCGGATCAGCCGATAGATTTGTGTATATTTGGGACGTAAATTCAAAGAAAATCGTATATAAACTGCCAGGTCACAATGGAAGCGTTAACGATATAGATTTCCATCCTAAAGAACCAATAATTTTGAGTGCATCATCTGATAAGACATTATACATGGGTGAACTGCTTGAAAATTAAATTTACAATCTCTGTTCATCGATAAAACCTACCTTAAAAATAAAAATAAATAAATAAGAGATCAAGATTTATTCCTAAAATAATATTGAACGTCAATCATAAATAAATTAGAAGGAAGTAAGAAAATGAAGAGATAAAAATAAGAAATAAATGTACGCACTTTTCTTCTTTGAACATAGATTCGTCATTCATGACGTCAAATTTATGTTATCTACGTAGTCATACTTTGCTTGCGTTTCCAATAAACAGTAAATACGTTGTGTTTTTTCTAGCTGACGCGCATTATCTTCGTGAATTAAATTTAACGGTTCGAAAATATTTGAAATTGTAGTTCAAAATTTTTCGGCTAGAAAATATTTGAATTTTAAGTTCAAAATTTTACGGTTAAAAACTCATCATTTGATTTTAACGATCAAAATTTAACAGCCAGAAAAAATTTAAAATTCATGCAAAATCTGTAGCTCAACAAATAATATTTGAAAATAACGGTCACTTTCAGATTCATTAAGTTACCTACAAAAGATAAGTCAGTCAATCAATGCAATCGAACAGACAACATGCCAATGAAATCAACATACAAAAAAAAAATGAGTTTAAAAAATACTTGTAAGCCTCATAAAATAAAATTTCACTTAAAGTCTATTTGAGAGAATGAACGACCGACAGAAGGTTGAAATAAATATGTAGAAAAAGAATAAGAAGAAGACGTGAAGAGAAGAAGAGAGGAACGGTTTATGCTCACACAAAGGGCAACACATAATAACAAAAATAATAATAATAATAAGGAAGAAGTTTGTCATTTAAGTAAAATAATAAATAAAATGAAATAACTTAAAATGAGATATTTTCAAGTCATTCAAGGAAAAATTTGTTATCAGTCAGATTTTACTGCTCTCCTCTTTCATCATCATCGTTGCCTGTCTCCTATTTAGATACATGCTTCATAACACATGATGACAGATTTTGCTTAAAAGAAGAAATTTCATCCCCCCTGTTGTGACTTGTCTTTGTCAGCTGATTATACTTTCATGGACTTATCGCAATGCCTGTGTGAGAGAGAAGTAAATATTATGTCAGTACATTCGAGGGAGATGATTTCGTGCCCACCAGAATATTTCTTCTTATGAACAATATTACACAAAATGTGTTATACGCTATTCCTCTTTGTTCTCATTTCAATTTTATTCGTCTTTACATAATTTTTTTTTATTTTCTTCATTTTCTCGATGTTTTCTGTTTAATGACATCAGCAGGCAGGCAAAGATTTATAAAATACGGAATAATTTTTACGAGATTTAAGTTGTTCTCTATAACATTATTCCGCTGTATGTTTTGCATTGGAAATTAAATCTGTTTGACAATTTTAGACAGATTTGGGAAGCTTTAAATGAAGATATTTTAATTAAGGAAACTTTATTTTGGCGAGACTAATTTTATCGAATTGAAATCGTTTTGTGAATTGCTTCTTTACTTTATTGGACTTCATATGATTTTTTTTTTTATAGAATTGAGTCATCTTTAGTGTTATTTATTGACTCTGTTGCTGAATAAAATTGTTTATCATTTAACGATTAAATTTGATTTGAATTGACTTTGAAAACTATACAAATTATTTGGTTGTGAAGAAAATTTGTAAGGTTCTGGAACTTTTCTTAACAAAAATGCCATTTCTTGGTATTTTGAGAGTATTTGAAAGGCTTTTCATCATTATATACTAATTATGATAATGGTAATTTAATAATTTGACGTAACAGCACGTTGTTAAGTTCAATTAGTCAATAAAACCTCACAAATTCATGAATCATAGATTTGTAAGGTTTTTAAACATTCTTTATTGGTAAACTTAGAATGTTCCGGAAATTTCTAGAATTTACTATGAATTCTTTGATAAACGATGACCAACTCATTTTTATACAGCCCCTATGAGAATTTTCTCAAGAAAGACCAACAAAAAGGTACTTCCTGAGCAACATGGTGGTGAGCACATCCACTTTAATTAAAAAGTCAACCGACAAAGGACTAAAAAAGGGGACATAAAAGAATTTTTAATTTCAATTTTTGCATAATTTACTTTTTGAAAGGAAACGACTTTAAATAAATCTTTTGGACAGCTGTGAATAAGACCTTAATTTTGAGACAAAGTCAATAATAATTCGCAATGTTTCAACCTTTAAAATAAATCTTGATTCGAGAATTCAGCACAATTTTAAATGACTTATTACTGAAAATAATGAATACTTGCTTACTCAATGATGCTGTCGATGTATCGTCATTGACAGAACAGAAAACAAATAAATAATAATTTAAATAATCTAATCAGTCGCCACTGAGAATGAACATGCACTTGAAAAAAATAAATGTTACATGCTTAAGTAACTTATCACATAAACATAATTCATGCTGTTGTTAACAAATAATAATGGAATTATAAAATGAAATATATCCATTCAGCATGTTGAGGTATTTTATTTACCTGAAATGTGGGCAAATACTAAAGGAAATATTAACAAAGAAATTCACAACATCAGAAGGACACAAACAACAAAAAAAAAAAAACGTGTGTGTATATACAGGCAGTCAGCCAAACAGCAACGAAGAGTGAGAGTACGGCAAGTACGTGAGAGGAAGAGAGTTAGGGAATCTTATGCGAACAAGTTAGAATCTTGTGTGTGGGATTCATTCATTTATAAAATAAGCAGATTAATATCTCAATGATGGGAGCATTGACGAAAAATAAGCACACATAAAAAAGTTTCTTTTGCTAAATACACCGATTCTATCTTATATATATATATATTTTTTTTCATGGAATATAAAATCAATATGTATGAAGAGGGAATGAGAAAGATGGAAAGATGTGAGTGAGAGAGAAAGAGAACATATTGCAAATCGAGAGAGGAAGAGCTGAAAATCGATTTAATTTTAAACCACTTTTTTTTTCGTAGAATAGAAGTGTACCCTCACTCTCTTGGTGCTGTTGCTGCTGCTTACTTTTCGATCCTTTATCCCAAATGGCAAGTAAAAGAATGGTATACCTTATGTTCATGAAAGGAAGAGAGTGAAAAGGAAGACGGAATTGAGGGAAAAAAATGTAAAAATGAAAACTACAAAATTCATTGGCTGGATCATTCGGAAGTGACGTCTATTAAGTAATGAAGATCTATTGTCACGAAATGTCTTAAAACCTTTCTAAAAGCATGAAAATGTCACTCCACCCCCTCTCTTTAGCTGAAAATTGTGACATCATTTAAAAGCTACCCCGTCCGTACATAAATAAATTTATGTGGGTCGTTGAATAGCTGAATAATCCATTCATTACATAGTTAACTTCAAAATTGATATAGACCTCTTGCAGCCTTAATATACATACGAGTGGAAACCAAGAAATTATGAATACAGATAAACACACATTCTCGGTAGTGCTACATGACATGAATCAACACACGATAATTGTTTAACCGAATTAGAGTGAGAGAAGCGATTAAAAATCATCTTATGGCATTTCATACATATTTTATGTTGTTATGTTGAGACTTTGTCGAACGACCCAATATCTCCACATCAAATAAACATACAATGCATAGGGAACGAGAATATATACGGAGAGAAGTTTGAGAATAACATGAAATAATATAAATTGAAAGAAAAGAAACAACATAAAGCGGAGAGGAGAAGTAAAGAATAAAGAATATATATATTAAAAAAAATCTTTACTTGAGTCGTACAAAAAAAAAAGCAGATGTCAATAATATTGCCGAGACACTCGATGGAGTATAAAGTGTAGAATCAAGAAATCTTTGGATTCGGGAAACACAAAACAGAAGCATTTAATGATTATCAAAGCCTAGTTCATTTTACATATCACATTTTTGACGCTTATCCTCCACTCATCCTCCCTCTCGAAATGGCATAATCAATTAGGCATTATATTTGTCAACTCATTGAAAATTCTCTTGTTTTTCCCATAACGCTGGGATGTTCATAATGATGATGACGATGATATGGAAAATTGAAATTTAAAGATTTAATGTGTGCGTATTGATGCGGAAATTAATTGCCGCACAAAGATAAATTTCATTGATTAAATATTGCCACGAAATTATTTCTCGTAAAATAAATTTTACTTTAGACTTGGAAATTAGAGCGATGATAATTTATTGGCTTTTTTGTAATTTGCGTGTATTTTTTTTGGGTGTTTGGTGAGATGGTGGCAGGTTCGTGCTCTCTTATGAATGATTTATAGGACTATCGAATATTAGGAGTTGTTCGCTTATTACGTTACGGCAAAAAACTTAATTAGTTCATTTGTTTTTAATATTACAGAACTAAACCCTAGAACATTGCGTTGAGGGATAAATTTGACTCTATTAAGTCATTTCCCACCAGTTCTGCTATTAAGTTTAAGTCAACTCCTCCTTTCCGATGTATGTACAAAAACATCTTTCAATCCGTGGTCTAACTTACCTACTTACTTCGCTGGTCGTACATGACAATTGTGGTCCATGACCTCCCTTAGTTGTCGCCTAAAACCAGCTTTATCGCTGGCTACCGTCTACCAAATGCCGATTCCAAACTGTCTCTATCAACAGCCTCTTTCCATGTGTTCTTTGTCCTTCTATGTGTTCTCTTTCCATCTACAAAATCGAATTTGAAGACCTTATTCCGTGGTATTAATCCCACTAATGGAATATGCAATAAAAAGCAACAAATCAAAAAAAATTAAAATGATCCAAAGCGAGTTTTTTAAAAACTCTCAGCTAAGGTCTTTAAAATTTAAAAAGCTAAAGTTTATCTTTCTACTAATTTTATCCTCCTATATCAGCACTTAACATCCCAAAAATCACCAGAACATGTTGAATTTAAAGATAATAACGCTCACGTACATAAATTGAGGTCAACAGCGTCGTTTTTTCTTCTTCTGGAAAAATTTGCTAAAAAGTACGAAATAGAAAATGTGAAACATAATAAATGAATTTATTCCAACACCCCTGAACGTGGATAATACTTGACAAATTCTTTGGTTAATATGAATCCATAATTTTCATCCCACTTGATTCCAT